ATAGTATGAGCGTCTCGTGAAGATCGGCACTTTATTCGTCTTCTTGCTCCTTTCGCGAAAGCGTTCAATTCGTCTCTGCAGTATATATAGGCGTGTCGCGGTGCGCAGTGGCATTACAAAACGGCCTTCGCTCTGGCGTCCGCCCACGCTTGATGTAATAACACAGAGTGGTGAAACTGTGGGCCCAGTTTTTACTGCGCCCAATAAATACTTGAATAGCTAGAGGCAGTTTCGCTGGCAGGCATTGGTGCTGTATGGCGAGCAGACAAGTTTAGTGTCGAACTAAACGTGCTTGTGGTAAGTTTGGTGAGCAGCGTATATGATCTGTTTCAGAAAGATTAAGTACTCTCCTCTTTTTTTTTCTTGACTCTGAGGAGATGGTGGCTTTCAGACGAGGCGCCGAATACTTGAAAGCTCTTGAAGGGATCGAACATACAACTCAACTTCCTCACAGTAAAATATCAAACGAAGCGCTCTCCGAGGTCCGTTTAGCGCTTCGTTTAATGTGAGTCTGTAGTCTTTGTCACTTTTTTTTTCATGTAGTCGTCAGATAAGCGTTTGTGCGTTTCATGTTGTCTAAAGGGTTGAATCATGTCTACGATAACGCTTACGTGCGTTCGTGGAGATTTTCCGATAGCTAGCCGATACTTTATTCGTATAATACAAGAAAACTTCATATGAATGAACTTCCAGCACGAAGTTTGTTAATGTGAACGTTTGCTCAACTGAAATAGCTGCGTTGAAGCATGCTAACAGGAGCGAAAGAAGGTAGCAGGTGTTAATATCGAACTTGAACGTTTTTATTTGCAGTGCTGCTTGTTTGAATGCAAATTTCTGCTTATCTAGCACGTTTGAAAAACGTAGCAATCTTTTATAGACCTTGAGCGCATATAGGACTGCTGTGGTGAGAAGTGAGTGACTGTGTCCAAACTCTCATAAACACTCTCTGACACAAACAAAACTCTGCAGTGCTGCTTTAGCTGAAATTCTTGGTGCTTACTGTACAAGTGTTACGTCTTCCACCTCCTCTTCTGCCTTAAGATAGGACGCTGGCTACAATCTTTTCTGTAAACAGAGTAACGCACACGTCTCAACGCAATAGTAACAGATGATAGTCCTCAAGACGCAAAGCGCTGTCTGTTCCAGTCTTTAATTGTCTGTACGCTAAACAAAATGTCATTTAGCACTGCCGTTTGAAAGAACTCATTTTCCATATCTTATATTGGGATCACCTTTAAAGTTATTTGGTATAAGGATTCGAGAAACATATTGATGCTCATCTCCAGGATGACTAAAATCTCGACTATGGAATTCAAGAGATATTGTGTCATGGTTGTATTTGAACGCATGGTGACCACATGGACTTGCTCGCAAAAACAGCTTGTGACTAGTCTCGTCCGCACAGCTTACCTGAATGGAGTGTTACGAAGTGCAATTTAGGAATGTGAACAGCATTAAGAAGATTCGCAGACACGTTATTCCTTGTGAAGCCGTAGGCCTTTATAGCCTTACCTCTCCCTCGGGCTTCGTATTTGAGACCCCTGATTTGTATAGAAGCTCACGGATTTACTGGCATGTGCGCGGACACAGTGGCCATAGAGCGTCGTTCTAAATGCGAGAATCGGTTACAGATGCGAAGCATTTCATGAGTGAGCTTCATCCGGTGGCGTCCGCGCTCCACTGCGCATGCGTGTCCCCCCCTCCCTCCTCTCCTACGCTTCCCTTTCTCTCCTCTAGGTATCCCTCCCCGCGGCGTTTACACCCTCATCGCGCATGCGCGTCTCATCTTTCTTCCAGGGGGGGAACAGCTGCGCCATTTACGCCATTACCTGTCAAACTTGCTTACCTGCGCCAACCTGCGCCGAACCACCCCTGCAGCGCCGCAGCACCAGAATTTAGCCGAAAGTATGCAAGCCGTCAAGCGCCGTACCCGGAAACATGGCTGAAACATTGTTTGTTTGGTTTCATTGAAACTGCGATAGTTTCGGTTTCGTAACGGCTGTGTTCGCTCCAGGAGCAGCTGTGAACGTTGACCCTAAGGACGTTGTTGCGATCGTTATGCGCGTGCAATCACGGCAGGTATCAGCACGAACAGCTTGTGAACCCTTCCACTTGCTGTGCTCTCAATGCGAAAAGACAGCGAGATGAGCATCTTTCCCAGGCACGGCTGTATTCTCTTACTCGATATCGGATCTAAAAGAGTCGGCTGTCAGCCTTGCAGCTATCGCATTCATTCCTTAGCCATTCTGGTGAAACTGGTTCTTCTAACATGATGGCAGCGTTCGGAAAATATATAAATGATGTCAGTAACGGTGCCCGAAAGAATAGGGTGGTGTCCGGTTCCCGGAACAGCCTAGCAAAGCCAGGTGCACATGTCTCATAGAGCGTATGTGCGTATTCTCGTACATTTGACCGCTGTGCTTCTTGCTTTATAGACTCAGCGGTTAGCGCTTGCGCGTTCAGGTAAAAAAAAAGGGGGTGGGCGTGGCTGTACATAACTAAAAGAAGTCACAGTTGCACCGCAGTGGTGAAGCAATGAATGCTATAGCAGCAAAATTGGGATGTTAAAGGCAGTGAGGCAGGCAGCTGAATTTTGGATCCGGTCCCACGTTAGTGTAAAAAAACGCTGGTGTACGAGAATATGGCCGCTTCAAGGAGAGCGACACTTTTCGCACAGTCTCTTCGCGATGAGAGTGGTGTACGAGAATATGGCCGCTTCAAGGAGAGCGACACTTTTCGCACAGTCTCTTCGCGATGAGAGTGCAGCACGTATAAGTGTATGCAAGTCGCCCGCTGATGGCTGCCGAGCAAGCGTGCGCGCCAGTGATCGCGACCACGCCCTTAGAAGCAAAGTTCACAATTGTTGTTTGAGTGATACTTGGCACCCATTCCTCCTCTTTTTTCATGATCTTCCAAGAAAGGGTGGGGTGCTTTCTCTTCGATGTTATCGCATACTCGCCCTCCGAGCAGCGGAGGTGGGCTGGATTGTATGATCTCGGCTTCAACCGCGCTCGTCGCTCCCGCTCGTGCGCGCTTAGGCACGCATAGAACATACGCCCAATGCGCGGGGGTACTTTGTCCATTTGGAATTTATACGGGACATGACGGCAATGGCAAACCTTGTTGGGCGTGTCCATGTAATTTTTATCGCAATAAGGAATCTATGGCACAATTTAGCTGAGTGTTCGAGAAATACAGCATTGAAGAAATGTTGCTTGACCAGTGCTTTGAACGGGGCTAAATCTAATCTGAATGTTCATGCTGCTCTAAACTTGCTCGAAAAGACCCTTCTGGCTGCTCCTAGCCTGCTCCAAAACGTCTTTTTTTGCTGTTCCAAGCCTACTTTGAGAAAAAAGCACTTTGCCTGCTTCCAGGACTGCTCCCGAACCCACGTATACCCTGCATGTTCCACCCCTGTAATCTCTTCTCCTACTTTCCCCCACTCTCGCCTCGCAACGCCGACATCCAATGTATACTGCCGGTGGAAGATTTCTCCTGTGGGTTGTTGAACAATAAGAATTCGTAGCGTGCTCGTTAACTAAAGGCGGACTGCGAGTCTCTAGTCCAATCGGAGGCTTCTGTCTCTCATTGCCTATTACCAGTGATTGGTATGTTCCAGTAGGAAACATCGGTCCATCACTGCATGCTTTGCGCCTCCTTAGGTTTCTCTCCTGCGCAACGCCGCGATGACCGCCAGCCTCAACGCCGCCGCCAATGTATAAGCGTTATCGTCCTCTGTTTTGCATCTACATATGGTTCTATTTAGAGGGAGATGGCGTGATGTTTTCTGTTTTTTTTCCTTCTCTTTTATATTATGTACCTTCCGTCCACCCGGCTGACCGGTACTCTTGATAAGTTAATAACGTTGTCTGAGGTACCACTCTGACCATGGCCTAATCGTGAATAAGGAATATTACGATATGAATGGAATTTCACGTAACACGCACCTGCTCCCTCACCGTGGACTGTTAAACGAATATTTTCTAATTTTTGTATGTCGTGACGGGAAATTAACGAAGTCGTGAACCGTTGAACGCACTGACCGAACATGTTTCATATGCGTGTGCGCCTACAGTAGCACTGTTCGTTTACCGTTTCGAAATAAAGAAACGGCAAGGTTAACAGCCCGACATGGTGGTACCGAAACGCATTCGTAAAATATATAGTTGATATAGGTTTCCATTGAAACCCGGTGTATCAGCTTCGATAACGAGCCGGTGTGCTGCTCGTTCACGGCTGGAGCTGCTGCAACAATATACTGAACGAGGTTGTGGACACCAGTGACGTCAACGCGTCGTGAACAATGCTGAAGAGCAGTAATGGAAATGCACGTATTTATACAACGCTCGTCATATATAGTACATGCACATGCCGTGTGGTATCGAAAATAGTCCGCACTCGGGTCGTCGCGATGCCTAGATAAGATCGAACGCACGCCGCATGCCGCATGCCGCATGCCCCCCCCCCCACATCTCTCTCTATCTCTCTCTCCTATTTTTCGATTTTCGGGGAAAATCGGTTTCAATGGGAAATATAAAATGAAAGAGAAATGGTAAAAAAAAAGCTTGATATGCTCCCGTGACCAAATGAAGTGGAAGGCGGTGAACTAAACTGAAAAAAGGCAGTACGCATTCAGACGGAGATAAATAGTATAACGGTCGAGTGGTGGCTCTGTTCTGTTCGCGCCGGGTCACTTTCGATAACAGAAACTGGGCGCCGGGCACCACAATGCGTTGCTGGCATCTAACTGGGAATGCGGGGGGGACCGCCTGGGGCTTTATTTTATGGCACGCTTTTGCTGTTTCTGGAGTGAAGTTGTTGCGAACTGAACTCTCCTACTTCTACGTCCCCCCCTTTCCCCCCTTCGTGTTTCTGTCGATGGCTGAAGCGATAGCCATTCCCGCCCCCCTTTCCCCCTCTCCCTGCTTCGTAGATGAAGCTACAAAAGAAGCTTGCGCGAAACAATAAACGTTCACTCGTTGCCCTAGTCTGCGGTGTCTGCGTATGCTTGCCGTGGCTGCCCGGCTAGCTATGTAACAGTGGCGACGAAGTCGGTTTTCGCTACCCACGGTACCTGACGGACTACGAGTCCTGGCGTCAGACGAACGAGGACCGACCACGATGGCCTCCCTGCAGTTGCCGGATTACGACGAAACGAAAGATAAGTGGAAGCCTTACCTCGTCAGAGCAGAAGCGTATTTCGAGGCGAACAGTGTAACGGACCCGGCTAAGAAGCGAGCACTACTAGTTTCGGCGTTGTCTAGTAAGACGGTCGAGGTGCTAGCCGGCAGAGTAGCCCCGCGTGCACCAAATGAACTGACATACAAGGAAGTCGTTCAGAGCTTGAATGAGTATTATGACCCTAAGAAGCACGAGATAACGGAAAGCTACAAGTTCTTCAATCGCTCACAACTTCCAGGCGAAAGCGTTAGCGCATTTCTCGTTGCTATTCGCCGAATAGCAGACAACTGCAATTTCGGCACGTCTCTTGACCGCATGCTTCGGGATCGCATTGTCTGCGGCGTACGCTCCGTGGCACTGAGGAAACAGATGTTGGCAAAAAAGGATTTAACGCTAGAAGAAGCCGAAGCATTGGCACTGTCTGTCGAAGCAGCTGAAAATGGTGCCGAAAGCATGACCTCAGAAGCTACGCCCTTGCTTAAGCTACGCGCGTCCGAGGCCAACACTGTTAAAACATCTCCGACTCGGCACGCGGCACAGCATTGTGATAGATGCGGAAGCAGCAAACACGACGGCAACAGCTGTCGTTGGATTAGAGCAAGGTGTTATCGCTGCGGACGTCATGGGCATCTCGCAAAGATGTGCCGCACAACCGCCAGTAAGAGCCGCGTCGCAACGCATGCAGTGGAGGGAAGAGCTTTGACTCTCGAAGAAGCCGTAACTGAAGACGACGATAAGGACGAGACACATATATGGACCTTACTTTCTGCACGAAAAAGCCGCCTCGAGCCGCCGATAAGGCGCAGTTTTTCATGGAATGGCGTACAACTTACAATGGAAGTAGATACTGGCTCGCCTGTCTGCGTAATTTCCAAAAACGTGTTTGACAAGCATCGCGAACAGTGGCCAGCGCTTAAACCTTCTCAGGTGAAGTTGTCATGCTACGTTGGACCACTCCCAGTGATGGGGGAATTGCAACTTTGTGTGCAATACAGGGCCGTCTCAGTTTACTGCCGTCTTATTGTACTGAACTGCTCGGGACCTAACCTGTGTGGCCGGGATCTGATTTCCTTGCTCCACAGAGCGGGGGTTCCAGTTTTGCAGCCGTCGGCACAAGACTTGCTACACTCAACGCCAGAACCCGCTGGGGCAGTTCACAACATTGTCGACGACTACCACGACGTCTTCTCCAAGGATCTTGGCCTGATCAAGGGACCTCCAGCCACATTGCAGCTGAAAGAGGGAGCGGTGCCGAAATTCTGTAAGGCAAGATCCATACCTTACGCTCTAAGGGACAGGGTGACGCAAGAACTGGACAGGCTGGTAGCCATCGGTGTACTTTCACCAGTCCAACATTCCGATTGGGCCACTCCCATCGTGCCGGTACTTAAGAAAGACGGAACTGTTAGAATTTGTGGTGACTTCAAAGCCACCCTAAATCCAGCCTGTACAGTTGAGCAGTACCCTCTCCCAGTGATTGAAGACATGTTTGCATCTCTAAACGGCGGGGAGTATTTTAGCATTCTTGATTTGCGAGATGCCTATAATCAAGTTCCTTTGGATGAAGCCGCAAGGAAGCTCTGCGTCATTAACACGCACAGAGGCTTGTTTTCGTATAATAGGCTTCCCTTCGGAATATCCTCTGCTCCGGCTATTTTTCAAAGAAAAATGGATGCAATACTGTCAGGTTTGCCAGGGGTTCAGGCTTACCTTGATGATGTACTGGTTTCGGAGGCTCGTGGCGATGGGAGGTGAACGCCTGAAGAGTGTGTTGCAACGGTTCCGTGAACACGGAGTTAAGCTAAGGTCTGATAAGTGCAGCTTTAGACAGCCTTCTGTCACATATCTCGGCCATCGGATAGACAGAGAGGGTCTTCATCCCACAGAGAAAAATTTGGAAGCGATCGCTCAGGCACCTCGCCCACAGAACGTGGCGGAGCTGCGTTCCTTTTAGGAATGCTGACGTTTTATGCCAAATTTCTTCCAAATATGTCCACTCTACTTTCTCCGCTCAACAAACTTTTGGAGAAGGGCACAGTATGGCAGTGGGGGCGGCAACAAGAAGCTGCCTTTGAGAAAGCAAAAGACAGCCTAATGCAAGCTCAGGTTCTTGTTCAATTTGACCCGTTGAAAGAGTTGAAGCTCGAATGTGATGCTTCCCCTTACGGTGTGGGCGCGGCGCTTTTTCACACGAGTAACGGCATGCCAAAACCCATTGGGTTCCGGTCCCGTACACTGACGGCCGCCGAGAAAAATTACTCTCAGCTGGAAAGAGAGGCCCTGGCTTTAGTGTTTGGCGTCACTAAGTTTCGTGATTACCTTTTAGGTCGCCAATTCACTCTCGTGACGGACCACCAGCCCCTCTTGAGCTTGTTGCAATCCGACCGCCCGACGCCACCCCTGGCTGCAGCACGTATCCAGCGCTGGGCACTGTACTTGGGTGGCTACCGCTACAAGCTGCAATACACGCCGGGAAAACAGTTGCTCAACGCGGACGCCCTGAGCAGGCTGCCACTGCGGTCTACGGAGGCTGATGACGTGGGTGAGCCACCGGAATATGTCCTCGCTCTGGATAATTTTGACGATGGCGTTATCACAACACGGGAGCTACAGCAGCTATCGGCCACAGACCCCGCAGTAACGGCGGTAAAGAATTGTATATTACATGGCTGGCCCAAAAGTGCAAAACAGCTGGAGGGAAACGATGCGGCCGTTTTTCGACCGCAAACTAGAACTGTCCGTAGCCCATGGTCTAGTGTATTGGGGGCATCGCGTAGTGATACCGGAAAAAGCGCGGGACCGTCTTTTGAAACTGTTGCACGAGACCCACCAAGGCTCGTCAGGAATGAAAGCAGTGGCAAGGTCAAAATTTTGGTGGCCCCGACTAGACCGCGATATTGAAGCGCTTTCAGCCGGCTGCACGAACTGTGCCCAAAACATGCCAATGCCGGCAGCGGCACCACCAGTAAACTGGCCGAAAACCAATGAAAAATGGTCGCGGCTACATGTCGATTTTGCCGGACCCATAGCAGGCAAGATGATTCTAGTTGCAGTAGATGCCCATACCAAGTGGATAGAAGCCGTGCCAGTAAAGCATGCCACCACAACAAGCACAATCACCTGTCTGCGCGCCATGTTCAGTCGATTCGGCGTCCCGCGAACCATTGTTTCGGATAATGGGACACAGTTTTCTAGCCAGGATTTTGCTACGTTCGTGGCAAAGAACAACATAATGCATCTGAAAACGGCGCCCTTTCATCCACAGTCTAATGGAGCGGCAGAACGAGCAGTGCGTACAATAAAGGATGGACTTCGGAAGATGAGGGAGGGTAATTTGGAGGACAACCTTGTGCGGCTCCTGTTCAACTACAGGAGAACACCACAGAAGACGGGAAAATCTCCGTCAGAATTGCTGCTAGGGTTCCAGTTACGTTCACGATTGGATGCGTGTTTTCCCTCAACTGTTGCAGACTCGCCGCCGGCATCAGATGACTGGGTGGTCCCCATAGAAAGCAACGTGTACGTGCGGAACTACGGTGTCGGAGAAAAGTGGACACCAGGGCGTGTGCAGTCCACTGCAGGATCCCGAATGGTGACCGTCCAAACTCCTCATTCTGTAGTCAGACGCCACGTTGACCAAGTGCGCCCTCGACAAGTATCGCAGTCCCCATCGCCGGGCTCTGCATCCTTATCAGAGTCTAATATGTCCATGCTGCCGAAACGATCGCCGGGGCCCTCAACTACAAGCTCCACCGTGCTGCCTCCAGAAGCGCTCACTACCGCAAGCCCCCACGACCATCCAGTGCCAACCATGCCACAGGCCGGTCCTACACAAGCGGCGACCCCAAGCGCGGAACCAGTGCTTCGGCGTTCTACCAGACAACGCAAGCCAGTACAACGGTTCCATTTTTAAGAAGAGAGAAGTGTTGCGAACTGAACTCTCCTACTTCTACGTCCCCCCCTTTCCCCCCTTCGTGTTTCTGTCGATGGCTGAAGCGATAGCCATTCCCGCCCCCCTTTCCCCCTCTCCCTGCTTCGTAGATGAAGCTACAAAAGAAGCTTGCGCGAAACAATAAACGTTCACTCGTTGCCCTAGTCTGCGGTTGTCTGCGTATGCTTGCCGTGGCTGCCCGGCTAGCTATGTAACAGAAGTAGTCTTTGATATATATATATATATATATATATATATATATATATATATATATATATATATATGTGTGGGGGGGGGGGGGGGCGAGACCAAGCTTCCCCGCCCACTGAAATTCTTTTCTCTCCATTCGTATGTTCTGTTTATTACTTCGCAAAAGAACGATACGGCTTTTTTTTTTCAAGAAAGTCTGTAAAAGCAGTTAAGAGGAATGCTATGCCACGTTGCTTTGTGGTGGCCTGCCTCCAAGACCCTTTCGTTGGTTGCTGGTGTGTTGTTTAAATGTGGTTATTCGTTGTATCTCGGCAGTGGGGCTTCAGCTCTATGCAGCTTTTTTTAAGAGTATATAGAAGAACAAGGTAGTACCCACCAGGAACACCTGGTCCGATAAGGACTGTATAGAGATTTCACGAAATGAAATGTGCATCGTAGTGGTAAAAAATTTATATTAGTATAGTCAGAATCCAGAGCCACCGATAGATCAAAATACTCTAGGCGCACAAACTTACATTCTGTATTGCTTTGTGCGCCAGCGGGCTTCACAGATGCAGTTACAAGTGTCGCAAGGTAGTTTCAATGTTCGTTAGAGTTGCTGATCACATGTTTGATGCTGTGTCTGCCTCCATTAATGTTATATACCGTCAACGTACGTGAGAGCGTTGCATGTATTTTTTAAACGCGAATGCATTTCTTAGTCGGACTATGTCAGGCGTCCGTCGGGATCCACCCACACTGCCCTCTCCCATAGCAACAACTGCCGGCGCGTGCGTCTCTAGCAACCTGAGCCCCCCCCCCCCTCCCCCATGTCATGCTTCGACGTCGGCAGCTGTCAGGAACAGCTGCGGGTGGGGGCGCTTATCCACGCCCCTAGCAAATGGAACCCCCACCTCCTTAACTTGAACGTGACTTCCCACGGCCCCAATGCAGTGCGTTTGAAACACGTTTGTAGCGTTTGTGCTGCCAGCGTTTGTGTGGCGTTTGTGTTAAGACGCTGACATTATGACCGTCAGGTACAATGACAACACAAACAGGTGCTGATGAATGTGTAAATAAATTGTTGCTGTACAATTCCTCGTCTTGTCTTTAATTTAAGCCATTACTATTACTACGCCGTGTACATCGGTGCACGAAACACCTTCGCATTTCTTGCGAAGTGAGCATCCCCCCCCCCCCCCCCCCCGACGTAACCGTATACGTACAAGCGTATATACTTATCCTAGAGCGCGAGATATCCTAAAAGGGGAGCAGCGGCGCTAGGAGCGACATCTTACGACGTGCTCAAATTAACCTGCGCCGGAACTCTGATTGCGTTGCGCTACCAACTTCCATTTCCGGCTGTAAAGCCGTAAGGTGTAGCGTCCCTCAACTGCTTTCATTTTTTTTTTTTTACGGCTTGAAATAACCGTAGCAGACACGGCACCGCGGCAATACAAGTAAGTTTTTAAAGGCTCACCGTTAATTTCGCTGTAATTTCTAGGCCACATTGCCGCCGCTTCTGATACTTCTGGCTGTTACTGCGCAGTCTGCGCATGCACTTACTACGCGATGGACTTGGCCCGAGACACCCATGCTTCGATGCTTACGCCAGGAGGGACCGTAGGCATGAACCACCAACTGTTCTCGAGGTTCACGCTAGCGGGGCAAGAGGCGCACTTGTTTTTCCCTCCACCTGACGGAGCCACAAAGCAAGGGGTACAGAGCCTTTTGCTTTAATGGGTTCGCCTTTAGCCCGAGCGTATCTCAGCGTCCGTCATTTCGCCTCTCCTACTGCTGTCGTCGCGTTGGCTCACGGCAGCGGGATAGTCATCGCCGTGTATAGAAACTCACAAAAAGTTTGGCCTTTCTAAAACGAAAGAGAGCAAAAAAGAAATGTATGGGAGCTATCTATCTACAGGAGCAATTCTGCATACCTAAGTCCATGTTCCGAATGAACATGCCTAGCAGCGGCGGCGGCTCGTGTCTTGGCGCCTCTTCACAAGGGAGGCTACACTGATAGTACCACCGCTAAATTTGCTGCGGCATCGGCCTGCAGCAGCTGCTCAGGCCGGTTGTCTAGCGTGCCTGCACACGCACAAAAAAGGCAAAGTGCTTCCTGCCGCGGTATCGATTCGCGGCCCAGTGAGCAGCGCGCGCGGCGTGCGTAGTCGCCAGCGCTGTCGGTGCTAAGCCCGTCGAAGGCCGTCGACCCAGTGGCACTCTTGGCCGCGTGGCGCTGGAGCGGGCTGTCCTCTTGCGCGCTGCTGCGCTGGCGTCGGACGCCTTTTGTCGACCAGCTTTTTCTTCCTTTTTTTTTCTTCTCGGTGCCTCGGCGTCTTTCTTCCGCCTCGTGGCCGACGTTCGCCGCTTCCTCTGTCGCTGACTAAACCCGTCCCCTCCAGCGCGCTTGCTTAGTTTATTCCTCCCTGCTGCGCATGGAGGAGCCCTGTCGCATTCCTTTTTTTTATAATATGCGTTGTTTGTTGCGCTGTGCTCTACTACAATGAGTTATCGTCATTACTGGACTGCACGAAGCCGAGTTGCCCGGAAGACGATTCCCCTGAAAGGAAGACAGGGCAGGGCGGCTGCAGTGCGGCGTCTTCTTTCGCCACTGGGATGATGTCGGGGCCGCCTTCGAGCGCAAGATTTATTGGATAGCAGCGATAGATAAAAAGAGCGGCTCTGCGTAACTATTGAAAAAAGAACTACGAAATAAGGAGGGAACATTTTGTCGTAATCCATTAGAAAGCGCATCACTGTTCGAAGCGAGGTCGGGTTGCCTTAGAACGTGCGTTCATGGAGGGAGATTCAGTGAAGAATAAAAATGTACGTGGTCTGGGGAAGCTGAAGAAACGATGAATCGTGTTTTGATTGAATGTGGAGATGTCCAACCCGGTGTATGTTTGGACGCTAGGCTTAGGTTTTAGGGACAACATTGCAAAGGTGCCCAGGTCCACCGTATAAAAACAAGTAAAAATGCTGCAGAGAAGTGTGGGGAAACTAAGAAACACTCTGCCACAGGGCGCAGAAAATCTATCTATCTATCTATCTATCTATCTATCTATCTATCTATCTATCTATCTATCTATCTATCTATCTATCTACGTCATAGACATACAAAGCTAGTGTAGGAGACCACACTGTGCTGTACCCTGAATATATATGTAAATGTTAAATTTGTGTGCACGCCGACTTGGTCTAATCCAACAGAGACAAACCAACCAGACGGTGTTTGGCTAACCTTGCCTGGGAGGAAAGCGATCAGAAGATGTAGTGAACAAAGCGTAAAGAGATCACAAGACAAACGCAAAAACGTCTCAGCTTTCCCGCAAAGGCGAAGCTATGAACGCGGCAGCAACAAATTGGAAGGGTCACGCGACGAAGGGCAAGCAGATCGAAATGTGCCCCGCGTTTCTCACGCATAAATCACGCACCAAACGTACTCACAGGTACAGATGAACGCGAATAAGCGTCTCAGTTGTTACTTCGCTTTGTCTGAAAAGCGCGCACCTTTTCGCAAACGTAGACTGTGCAACGAGTGCAGTGACCTTTGTGCGCCTGGTAACTACAACAGAATCGTTGCGGTGAAAGCCCAAGGCGTACGATTGTTCACACCGCGACATAAGCGAGTGCATGCGTGAGCGTCCCCTCTCCGTGGGGCAAAGTACGCGTGGGAGATGAGAGTGCGCGCCGCCGCGTCGTGACGATCTGGCGACGCGCGCTCATTGCGCCAGCTTGCTGGTAATGCTTAAAACACGATAATTCCCACTGAGGTGCCCATTGCCAGCGTTAAGTGATAGATATAAATAGCTTGCCGTTGAAACGTTGAAGATGGTGCACCTTCGTGGCTCAGTGGCTAACGCCTCGCACTCAGAATTCAGAGGTCGGGCGTTCGATGCCGCGCGCCGTAGTTTTTTCTGGGATATTATTTCTTGCGTTTGCATATATATATATATATATATATATATATATATATATATATATATATATATATATATATATAAATATAAGTTACGGTTGAAAAAAAATATTACTGCGTTTATTAACATAGCGAGGATGAGATAAAGATGGAGTCCTCAGGCCGCACCAGACAACCTCGTCTTCCTCCTCATTACCAGCACATACCGCTTATACCGTAGCAATATATATATATATATATATATATATATATATATATATATATATATATATATATATATATATATAAGGAGAAAAGCGTATACTTAAGGGCTCGGTTTTCTTTGTTTTTACACAATAATAATGAGATCTAACAGACAATAATGCCAAAAAGTATAGGGGAAGATATTAGATTAAATTGTAATGTAAATATGAAGAAAAGTGGGTGAAAAGATAACTTGCCGTGGGCAGGATCTGAACCTGCGACCTTCGAATGACGCGTTCGATGCTCTACCACTGAGTTCCCATGACAGCTATCCCCCCAGCCACTTTATAGGGTTATATATGTGAATTAAACGTGGGAGTAACTATATATATATATATATATATATATATATATATATGGTGCATGACAGCGACGTCGATGCGACGAAAGTAGGAACATAAGCCCAAGAAGCTGCGAAGTTCCTTTAATGTCTGGGGTGATTTGAATGTGCTGACTGCTTCGATTTTACGGGGATCTGGCCTGACACCATCTTTGTCAACTACTTGACCGAGAACTAATGCTTGTTCAGCAAACCGGCACTTCTTAGAGTTGAAAATCAAGTCGGCCTTTCCGACACAGTCTAAAACAAAGGTTCAATTGGACGTTATGCTCTTCGAAAGTGCGCCCAAAAATTACGACGTCGTCCATGTAGTATAAGTACACCTCCCATTTAAAACCATGAAGGACAGAGTCCATAAATCTTTCAAAGGTGGCGGGGGCGTTGTCAAGCCCAAACGGCATCACGTTGAATTGGTACAGTCCATCAGGCGTCACGAACGCGGTCTTCTCCTTGTCTGATAGTTGCATAGGTATCTGGCAATATCTTGATTGTAGGTCTAGTGAAGAAACGTATGAAGC